ACTTACAACCATTTGTTTTAGTAATCATTTGACAAGCAAAGTCAGTGGGGAAGCTGGCAGAAAAACTTGCCAGTCAGAATCACGTAATGACTGCAGTAAAAAGGTCATAAAATTGGGTGCAGTCACATTATGTCTCACTTAACAACTGCACCCACTTAGCAATAAATGTTCTGGTCCTTATTATAATCATAAATTGAGGACCACCTGTAGTAATAGAAAATGAAACGAAACCGCTGTTAAACAGAGGTAACACTTTGCCATGTATGGCTCGTAGTGCTAATAGCCATTAAATTAGAAAGTTGTAGTGGGATTCAGCATTAGATATTACGGTGCAATCAGAGGTGGTATTCAGCAGGTTCTAACCAGTTCTGGAGAACCAGTAGCAGATATTTTGAGTAGTTCGGAATACCACCTCTGATTGACCCCACCCCCATCTATTCTCTGTCTCCTGAGTCCCAGCTGATCGCGTGGATCTTCTTTTGTTGCCCTGCACAGGAGAATGGAGCTGGAAATCAGGTTAGTGGGGTGGGGAGAGAATGGAGTGGGTTGGGAATGGAGATTTTGTAGTATCTTTCTCCTGCCATGCCCACCAAGCCACACACCCCAAGCCACACCCTCAGAATTGGTAGTAAAAAAAAACTGAATCCTACCACTGGGTGCAATCCATGTTTATATTTTTGGCAAAAGGATTTGTAATTTACTACTGTTCTAAGTCAGCTCCCTATGCATCTCATAGCAGTTAAACTGTAACATAATTAAAATAATTAAGTAAAACAGATGAAAGAGTCAGAGGGAGTAGGAAGATTTTTGACAAGGGATCAAACATTTCAAAGATATGCTGAAAAATGAGAACACCTGGGTGGAAGGCAGGAGTTTGGAAATAAGAAAGAAAGGAAGTTTGAAAGTAAAAATTTAACACGTTCAACTAAAAGAGCTTGAAAATTGTTGCAAAATGCTTGGTGAGCCTTTCCATTTTCCAAATCTTTATTGCAGTCGCATTAACAGAATCTTGCAAATCTGAAATTACTGCTCTCTTCTCAAAGGTGTTTTTTTTCAAAAGGTGACTGGACTGTTTTTTCATTACAGAAGAAAAAGAGGGTGTTCAGCTTCTTATCCAAGAAGCTTCATCAGTTATGACTGATGTGAGTCACAAATGATCAAACTTCTTGGATGAGAAGCCAAACGTTGTTGTCTTCTTCTTCCATAAAGAAAAAACAGCCTTTTGAAAAAGCACCAGTATGACCTGGATGACTGAGAATCTCCATAGGCATATTGCTGTCTTTATTCACTTCTACTCTCCCAAATGCTAGGGAGGGTCTCTTCTGAGATGCTTTTTCCATCCCAATCTCTCCTTTGGAGTCAAATTTCATTCATCAGATCATTGTCTAGTTGGCAGCTCTTTTTCCTGTCTTCATTCCTACTTACCATTACACAGCCTCACCCCTTTAAATTCTGATTCAGATCAGGGGAGTTGCTCATAAGCAAAATTAGTGACACTTGTCAAGCACTGAGGAAATCAGAAGATTCAGGAAGTCAAAGGAGTATAAAAATTTATTGTAAGCTTAAGCTCTCTATAAGAATCTGAACCGTTAATGGTCAAGGAAAATGAACAGGAATTAAGAAAGCATTCAAAGTGGGCTGGATTTAGATCTCCATGAATCTCACAGGGATTCACACGTTAGCATCTCCCTCGGGCTCAGCCTGGTCATCTCCTACAACGCTGCTCGGCATGATAGAAAGTGGCTATCTTGGAAATACACAAATCAGTTCAAGCATTTTGTACATTTTATTAATATTAATAAATATGTAATGTGCCGCCTTTATTCTGTACTCTTAAAAAAGTATACAGAAAAAGGAGCAATACAGAGATTTAGAGGTAAGAAGTCAAGACAATATTTTTGAGTGTGTGAAAATCAGCTGTAGTTTGCAGGTTTTAGATCACCTACATAAAGGCAAACATCCATTTTTATTCTTCCTCTGTCATATTTTACCGTATAAATATTTCTTACAATCACTTTTCAGTTGGGTGGAATCAATGCCCTTTTAATCATGCTTCACTTGATTCATAATAATTGCCTCCAATGCTTTATTCACTCATAACATCTAGATGATATAGCTAGAAAATGCACTTTCCAATGTATCACAGATTAAATCTTCCAAGGCCAAAGGTAGACAGGTATACCTTAAGAATTAAGTACTGAATGCCTTCTGAGAAAACATAATTTCTGGACAGATTCTTATTGGAGAAACATTTACTTGCAGTCCTGATTGTTATCCTGGGCAGCACTCTTGGCTATCATGAAAGTAATCCTGCCTTTTCATTTTTGTGTGTTTGGGTGTGTATGTTTATGTGTGTATATGTATGTTTATATGTATATGTATTTTTTTTAGTCTAAAAAGAAAGAAAAACTGAGGAACCAGCATAATTCTTTTTATTATTGCATGGTGAAACTTACTTAACTTAGATAAAAATGTGGATGGACAGATAGATATATAGATAGAGAGGAAGGGAGGAAGGCAGTTTTCATTTAGTAACTGTCTTGTTTAGTGGCCATTCACAGTTACAACAGTGATGAAAAATTAACTTAACTACCAAACTTTGCATTTATAATTTTCATAGGTCTGTAAAGCAAAGCTAAGCTGAAGTGAGATCACAAGCACAGCTGCGGTATTACTTAGCAGCTGCTTTGCCTAACGACCAAATTGCTGGCCTTAGTTGTGGTTGCTAAATAAGGACTACCTATAGATACAAAATTGTCATATTATAAAATTGGCACAAGGAGCCAGCTTCATCCTTTTACTATCCTATGGTGAAACATGTTGAACCTTGAATAAAAATGCCTACAGTTAACATAAATGCCTACTTTACATACATACATGAAATTGCCATACTATAAAATTGGAGGCAGCAGACAGTTCCTTTATTGCTATGCCAGCATGCATTTCCATCCAACCTGCCACCAACTGTAACATTCTTATGCTGTTTTGTGTTTTTATTCTTATTGTATTGTTAACGTATTTTATTTTGCACTCTGGTTTTTGACTGCAATAAACTCTGTCTTTCCCTCAATTATGGCAATTGAGCGCAGTTTTGAATGCATTTGAGTGCTGAAGATTTTTTAAAACGCTGACCTCATCTTATATAGGCCTCTACTGAAGTGATAATTACAAGTTATGATAATTTTTGTTCAGTTTGCAGAGACACAGGAGTCAGGCTTCTGAGGATGGGAGTAATGGAACCTTGCCTCTTTCTAAGAACAGCTGTGGACGTTACAATCTCTTGCAATAGGAAAATGTTAATTATGTCTTGCACCAAGTACTAAATTCTACTGAATTTCCCCAGTTTTGAGAGAGAATCTTTTCTCTCTCTTTGCTTTCTTAATCCCATTCTTAATTTTTTTCTATGTACAAATGAAAAGAAGCCACTTTTCATTGAAAAGATAAAGTATCTGAAGAGGAATATAACAGAAACCATTAAAACACTTTAATCCTACATATTATTAGTTTTGATCAAACTACTTATTATATCCCTTTCAAGAATAATAGATTTGGTAAAATAACAAGATATGTATATATTTAGAGCAGGTCAGTTTGAGTGTGTTCAGAAAAAAAAATCACAGGATTTTTGTAACATTTGCTGGACCTTCCTTTGAGTGAAAATAGACCAAACCTTTGATTATTGAGCGGATTGGAACTGTAATAAGCAGTAAAATGGCTGAACATCTCACTGTTCCTGAAATTTGATTCTTAAGTACAAGTAATCCTGGATGTATGACCACAATTGAACCAAAAATGTATGTTGATAAGTGAGGCGTTTGTTAAGTGAGTTTTGCCCCATTTTACAGCCTTGCTTGTCACAGATGTTAAGTGAATTATTGCAGTTGTTAAATCAGTTGCACGGTTGTTAAGTGAATCTGGCTTCCCCATTGACTTTGGTTGTCAAAAGGTGACAAAAAGTGATCATGTGACCCCGGGATGCTGCAATGGTTGTAAGTATGAGTCAGTTGATAAGTGGCTGAATTTTGATCACATGACCCTGGGGAAGATGCAGCGGTCGTAAGTGTGAAAAATAATTGACTTTGAATTAACTGTTGTAAGTCGAGAACTACTTGTGACCCTTATTTGAATCACCATCACTTTGGGGTAGAGTTGAGTTTACCTCTTTTGCTATCATACAGTGGAAAGTGCGATATTCTATAGAGATGTCAGTGTTTCACATTTATAAAATGTCTTCTTCAATATAACAGGCTAATACTAATATTGATTTCGATTTAGTACCAAATGAAGGGTGATTTATTCAGCTGATTTCTGAGTCTCCCTGATTCCAGCTCAGCCTCTATTTGTTTTTACAGCTTATACTTAGGGATATTTGCATTGTTTAACTTGCATTGTTTTTATTACTCTAAAATTATCTCTATATATTTTGCAATAGTGGTGAATATCTGTAGCTTGGGTATAGGATGAGGGTGAAGGTTCGTTCTCCAAGCTTGTTACCAGGCTAGGGAACATCTTCAGTGGAGTTTAGGGGATGTCAGTTCTTCTTTATAAGACCAAATCTTCCCGCTCATACATATTTTGCTTCAGTTAACAGACTTTTAAAGAAAGTTTGTACGTTCAAGTTTGTACATTAACTGCTTTAGTTAGATGCTCTCAGCTTCCCCAATAGTGAGGCTTGTCAATGCATGTACATAATGAAGCAGTAGATTTTATTGTTTATATATGCAAGAAGGTAGTTGAAATCACATGCTCAAAATTCAAGTAGAAAACTAGCTGATCAGAGCAGTGCATTAGACTATTCTGTTTGTTGCTATTTTTTCTTATAGCCAACAGCCTGCAACAGGAGCTTCTACCTTATATTGGAAGCAATGGAGTTCTGAACTAACTTATTGCCTTCAGAAAAATGCTGATTTCTCTCCTTGATTTTCTGTTAAAAAAATTAATGTGATGGGATCTGACGTCCATTACATGCTAAAGGATACATGTTGTTTTTCTTTTTCCAGATCACCAGAAGTTAGAGCGAGAAGCTCGCATCTGCCGTCTCCTGAAGCATTCCAACATTGGTAAATATTGTTTGGTTAAGATGGAAATGTAGAAGAAGGGGAAGGGATGGGATGGTGTACATGGTGAACATGAAGATTATCTGTATTTCTTAACTTTGGAAAGTTTAAAATGTGTGAATTTCAACTCTTAAAATTCTGGGAAGTCCATGCCTCTTAAAGTTGCTGAACAATAACACAGTTTAGATTGAATATTATTAAAAATTGTCAGCCTTCAAGATTTTCTTCCTTTGCTTTGCATCTTTTGGCTGTCATAAGTAACGGGGAGGAGGGGGGATATGGTTATTGGAAGTGAGCTGGAGGTATTACAAAACAGAACTGTATAAGTTGGGGGGGTGGAGTTCTTGCTTAGGCTTCTATCCTATGCTATGTGCAGCTCCAACTCTTTATTGAAATATGTCAAGGTTAACAGACAAGAGGCCTCATCACCACCTGGAGATGCCCACATGATGATATACACAACTTTTAATTGGATGAACCAATTGAACTATTGGGAGTGGGAACGTTGCCATCACTTTGTATATGTGATTTACGCGCTCATTTTCTCAGATTCAGAATTCTTTTGTTGCTACCACTTAATTTCCAGTAAAAGATATCTTTTCTCTAATTAATGGAGTCTTAAGTATTTCTTTCTTGGATTTTGAATGGAGCACCAGCTGACAAAAATATTCTGAGTACTCTTCCAGTAAAACCAGTAAAAACTTTGCAGGACATTTCTTCTGCCATCTCTTTAAGTACTGGGAAGGAGAGAAAAGTGTCAGTTTTTTTTAAAAAAAAGAACTGATTGATGGTGATTTTTTTCTTACATTTTTGACTTTTCTACATAAATATAAATTCTAATATGATACTACGGTGCCTTTACTTGAGAATTTTACACTGATATTGTTTGGCTTTATGGAACCCTGTCTTGGACAGCTGACCCAGTTGGTTTCTTTTTTAAATCCTGGTAAGATGGACCATATTTTGCCCTTTTTCACTTCTGCTGGCTCCAGATTTGTTTCTGATTTAAAATCAGGGTGCAGACTTTAAATCCAGAAATGTGTAGGAGTAACTGAAGTTCATACCCCTGGCAAGGACTCAATTTGGAGGAGGCTGAATGCTTCCCAAAAGGAAAGTGGGATGAGGTTGTTCTTTACTGATCTCTTGGGGTGTGTGTGTGTGTGTGTGTGTGTGTGTGGTGGGGGGGAGAGAAAGAGAGAGAGAGGGAGAGAGAGAATCTGCTATAATAATGTTATTTAACATGCTATTTACTTTTCATTTCTTGGTTACATATACTTAAAGATGGTTTGATTTTAGTATATGATACAAAGCTTATTGTACAAACAAGGTTTAGCATATACCAAGAGTAATTTATACTTTAGAGTAAATGTGAAATTAGGATGAGTTTAAAATGTAGTCTTCAGATCAAACTACAACTGTCACCCAAATATGTGCATTATTTATTCTCAAGATCTCGGTCCTTGATCAACATGCATGTGTCAGGTTTAGAAGCCATATTAGCACTAGAAGCTTCGACGCTGCTACGTTCTTGAACATGGGAAGATGGGAGCGGGGGGGGTTGTGGAGCGTATGTGATGAGACATAATAGCATTCTTCTTCAGAATCAAGGTCACATTATTCCTGCACCTGGCCGAGGAGTGGTTGAGGGGATGTCTCAAGTTGGGATGGATGGTGATGGGGCATCCCCTCAACCACTCCTCAGCCAGGTGCAGGGATTGAGGTTTTCTGGAACTCTGACAGCATGAATGTTTGGCTTCCCACTTCACTCCTCTCCATTCAGGACAATAATTTCACCTTTATATCACTTTGCATGATTTTAAGGCTTTTCAGGAAACCATTCCTACCAAACTTCATGAAATTGAAATTTAGACTTACTCTTATGATATTGAGTAGTTATTGTGAAATCCTAATAGAGCTTCCCATCTTTTTATCTCCCATGGTTGTTTGAAAAATATCCTGTAAATTGAATGAATGCCAATGGTGTCTCTTCTTCTGCTTTATTTTGAAGAAAAGTGACTATAAATGCAAAGAGGGAGTTCCACAATTGTAATTACGAAAGGTGGGCGTGCATTTTTTGCTTTAACAGGTCCATCTGCCCCCTTTGTTCCCAGTGCTGCATGGAACCACCTTTAAAGACTTTTGCAAATCCATAGCAGTTGCTAATGACAACAAGGTTGGTAGAAGACGAGCTTCCAGGAAGCATCATCTCAACCAGGTCTCTCTCCATCTCAACCAAGTAGGCAATTAAAACTGAACTCCCTGCTTGTTGTAATGGACTCAGCGTGTTTATGCTAGTTATTCTGTTTTAATCCTTATGGGGCTCCTCTTCCCCCCTCCCCCCAATGCATTAGTTTCTATGGAAACTGTGTTGTCATGGGTATCTTCTGGGTAGATTTAGAGACAGCCACAAGTGCAAAAGAAAAAGAAATGTTGTTGTATAATGAAATTGAAATAGAAGCACTTCAGCTTCAGTGATCTTAGAAAGATATAGGAGACCGGTACAGGAGCAAAAGATTTGTAGGTCCAGAAAGTTGATTGGGTTGGGTTGCATGAAGCTGTCAGATGGTTTGCTTGGTTTTGACTGCATGCAATCTGTGAAGCAGCCTTGATATCTGTGAACAACCGTTTAGGGCTTAGGACAACGTCCAATTTTGGTTTACCCAGCAAATCAGGGATTTGCTTTGATTGACGGAAATGCCCGGTCTTGCTCCTGGTATGTAATGTAAGCCGTTTAGGCTTTGAAGCTGAATTTCCTCTGAGAGTTTTAAGGAAGTTAGATGTTCATCATCAGGAAAGGTGAGGAGACATTAATCAAATAGGGTCCATTAATCTTATTTCATTCAGAAATAGTGAAATTAGATAGGTGGCAATTATCCCCTGAACTGCAACAGGCACCCCATTGACTGGATAGGAGTCATAGTCCCTATGAATGATATAATATGAAAAATGGAATGTCTTATGTTTTCCATTAATTGCAAAATCTTGTTCCTCTGAGATCTACCCAATCTTTTTCCTTTGCTGTGTAATACATTTCTCTTCATTAGTTGAAAAGTTTTGTATCATATTCAATCTTCTGTACATTTGGCTTCATAATATAAGTTGTAGCAATGCAGGTGGACCTGGCCATTGGAAGTGAACGCATTATCCATAATAATCCCTGCTTTTTCAAGAGGCAACTGGACTTTCTTTGTTTTTCCTTGAAGACATTTTGCTTCTCACTCATCAGTTCTGACTGAATGGTGGAGAATGGAAATATTTACATTTCTTGCGGCCATTTGGTCATTAGCACTCTTTCTGAGAAGTCATTGAGGCCACTCAGAGGTTTATTTGTGCCCTCAGGATCACCTGAATAGTTTATCTGTGCCCCTGAGGGATAAACCTCTTAAGTAGCCTCAATGACTCTCAGAAAGAGTGCTAACGACCAAGTGATTGCAAAGAATATAAACCCTTCCATCCTCCACCATTTAGTCAGAACAGATGAAGACGTTTCTTGAATTAGAAGCAAACCGTTTTCAAGGAAAAACAAAGAAAGTCCAGTTGCCTCTTGAAAAAAGCACCATGGGACAACCGTGACCTGGATGACTGAGAATCACCATAGACATTATCCATAATATATCTGAGAACAGATCAGCAGTTGAAATCAGAATCCCTTCCTTCATGTAGCTAAACCTGTATCTTACAAGCTTGGCCCTGTTTTTGTGGTTTCTGCTAGCCATTTTCTCCTAATTGCAAAACTTTCTAAGGCATCAGCATCTCTTTCCAACTCTTCCCCACCCCTCCTTTTCAATTTAATTAACCTCCTTTTAGCAAGGAATAATATATCTCTCCCAAAGCCGCGTAGCAGAAGCAAAATTCTGAAAGGCATATTTTCCCTCAGTTCTTCAGAGAAAGAATCATGTTCCTTTTCACTGCTCTTATTTCCCTACACCAATTCTTGGCAGCCAAATTAAATCTTCTCCCCTTGGTTTTTGGCAGCATTGGGGTGCTTTAGCCTGAAGTGGTGTTTTTAGAAAAGGAGATGAGTGTGTATACAACACTAAGCAAGCTTAACATTAACTATAGGTAAGAAAAGACTTGGTTTGTCTCAAAGACCGTAACATGTAAACATTGCCAACAGCAGCCTGCTACCATTATTACTGTCTATTTGTTTACTTTAAAAAACAAATGTATATACATCATGGTCTAATTGGAACTAAGATGTGCAGGGTGGAGAAAGACTTCCCAAAACCTTTAGGTTTGTATTAATAGAGGGATAGAATCAAGATCACATGAATTGTTAATAGCACTTTATAATGCTCTGGCAAGACCACATTTGGAATACTGCACCCAGTTTTGGTCACCATGATATAAAAACGTTGTTGAGACTCTAGAAAGATTTCAGAGAAGAGCAGCAATGATGATTAAGGGACTGGAGGCTAAAACATATGAACAGTTGCAGGAACTGGATATGTGTAGTCTAACAAAGGGAAGGACTAGGGGTGACATGGTTGCAATCTTCCAATATCTAAGAGGTTGCCACAAAGAAGAGAGGGTCAACTTACTCTCCAAAGCACCTGAAGGTGGGATAAAGGATGGAAACTTATCAAAGAGAGGTTCAACTTAGAATTAAGGAGAAATTTCCTGACAGTGAAAACTGTTAATAAGTGGAATGGCTTGTCTCCAGAGTTGTAGGTGTTCCATCATTAGGGGTTTTTAAGAAGAGATTGGACAGTCATTTATCTGAAATGGCATAGGGTCTCCTGCAGGAGTATGGGATTGGATTAGAAGACCTCCAAGCAGGGGTGGGATTCTACCAGTTCGCACCTATTCACTAGAACTGATTGTTAACATTCTAAGCAGTTCGGAGAACTGGTTGTTAGAAGAAATTCCTGGCCTAATCCTGTAAGGAAGGCAGGAAGGAAACATTCTGGTGTTGCTTACAGAAACTGCCTCTCTGTTAACCCTTTTTACACTCTTGGCAGGACTGGACTTTCTGTCTCAGGAACTTCTCTGGAGTTTTTTTT